GTTTCTCCTTTATAAAATACTCATTCAACTCTTGCAGATTAAAAAAAGGTAGTAATCTTTTCCTTACTGTATTTTTGTCTGATTTATTTTGGTTATTAATTCTTCATTGATTATGGTTGTTTAGGATTTATCCTCTAAATTTAGTGCATATAAAATTTATTGGTAATGGTGTAAAGCTCAATAAACTATTCAAGGGTAAGTGTGACCAAAGATATCTAAGCTATATTTTTAATGAAAGCCAATGAAGAAAACTAAATAAATGAAAAGATGTCGCATGTTAAAAAATTCAAAATTTTAAGAGATGTTACTTCTACTGAATTATCTAATAGCTTCTCTTAATTCTACCCAGAGTCTCAAAAGGTTTCCTTAATATACTTTTCTTAGGAAACTTGACAAAGCTGACTCTGAAATTGATATAGAAAAGTGAAAGGTCAAGTACATACATACTTCTCCCAAAGAACAAGTTAGGAAACCCCTCAAACCTGGAGCCAAAAGTCTTTATTTTAATGCATTCAAACCTTTTGTTTTGCCTTTATATGGTGATTTTTGTGTTTTAACTAAGGAGCCTTTCCTTATCTCACAAACATAAAAGTCTTAAAGTTTTCTTTAAAAAAAACAAAAATTAAAAACCACAACACCCTTACAGTGTTTAGCAATGTTATTAGTTTTCTCAGAGACAAGTTTTGGTTTTCTTAATTCCCTTGGATATTTGTTTCCAGATAATAAACTATTTCTTGATATTCTGTTGCTCTTTAATCCCTTAATTAATTATTTTTCTGAGCCTGGGCACTGGCCCCAAACTTCTTTTGCTCAAAGTAAGCACTCTACCACTTGAACTAAGTGCCACTTCTGGCTTTTTTGAGTGTTTATTGGAATCTCACAGAGTTTTCTGACTGGGATGGCTTTGAACCATGATCTTCAGATCTCAACCTCCTGAGTAGCTAGGATTGCAGGTGTGAGCTGCCAGCGCCTGGCTCTAATCCCTTAATTTTATTTTATTTTTTTGGGGGTCCAGTCATGGGGCCTGAACTCTGGCCCTGGGCGCTGTCCCTCAGCTCTTCAGCTCAAGGCTAGTGCTCTATCACTTGAGCCACAGCACCACTTCCAGCTTTTTTCTTTTTGTTTATGTGGTGCTGAGGAATCGAACCCAGGGCCTCAGGCATGCAAGGCAAGCACTCTACCACTGAGCCACCTTCCCAGCCCTAATCCCTTAATTTTTATATGGCTTATTTTTTTACTTTTACTTTTCTTGTATGAGGTATTTAAGACTGTTTTTCTACAAGTACTTTAGTTCAAATCCATCCTAGGCTATATTGTGAGATTTTGTCTCAAAAAATCAAAAACATGATTTTTATGTACACTTGGTGAATCGTACATTATGTAGTTGTCTTTTGGCTAGGACAGTGCTTTTTTCTTATATTTTATTTTGTTAAAATAAAAATATATGCGATTTCATTCATCTTCATATGAAAAATATTTCCATCTTTCACTTTCAGGTATCTTTTCTTTGTTGGTATGTTTCTGACAACAACGCATATAGCTGGAATTGTAAACTCACTCTGATAATGCTCTTCTTTTAAATGTAGTATGAAGCCCATTTGTCTTTATTATAATTTATGATATATATATATATATATTTTTTGGTCAATCATGGGGCTTGAACTCAGAACACTGGCACTGTCCCTGAGCTTTTGTGCTCAAGGGCACTCTACCACGCTGAGCCACAGCTCCACTTCTGGTTTTCTTGTGGTTAACTGAAGATAAGTATCTCAGAGACTTTCCTGCCCAGTCTGGCTGGGCAAGAAATCCTCAGATCTCAGCCTCCTGAGTAGCTAGGATTACAGGCGTGAGCCACTAACACACAACATGAAATGTTTTTGTTTTTTCCACTAGCTTCTTTGTGTGTGTGTGTGTGTGTGAAAACAGCATAGAAATAGTCTTTAAAAGAACAAAATCTTCCCATATAATTGTAACCCCTCTGTACAGTATTTTCACAGTAAAAAAAAAAAAAAAGAACAAAATCTGTGAAATTATCTCCTACCTGTATATTTTCAGGGCTAGTTCCATACATAGTACAATGAGTAATAATACAATATAATATAAACCTTGTTTCATAGCTATGAAGTACACATATTCACTGCTGCTGTTGCCAACAGTGCTGGGTACTTATAAATGCTATGTAATGCTGTTAGTGTTATTATAATCATCATCAAATTGGCATGCTTTTTCTTCTGTTTCCTCTTTATTTCTTTAGGATTGTTGAAACATTTTTTTCTTATTGCTTTCCTATGATTTTTTCACCTTATATTTTCTATTATATTCTTTTTGGGTTACCTTAGAAATATATCATGCATACTTAGTTTAAAACTAATTCTTACCTTTACCACCTTCTTGAATAATGTAAGAGTTTTAAAACACCTCAATTCTGATCATTCCCCCCCACCCCAGTTTTTCCTACTCTGGAGTTTGAACTCAGAGCCTTATGTTCACTTGGATTATGCTCTACTTACCTGAGCCATGGCTCCAGCCTAGATTTTTGCTAGTTATTTTGTAGATGAGGCCTTGGAAACTCTTCTAGCAAAGCTAGCCTTGAAATACACTCTTCTCAGCCTCCTAAGTAGCTAGGATTACAGAATGAGCCACCAATGCCTGATGATCACCTCCTTTCTGACATACACTACTCTAATTCATCTCAATTTTAAGCCTCATAAATGATTATTTGTGCATTATACAGTCAGTACTTGTTTGGTTTTACTCACATATTTACTATTATCTTTGCTGATTATTCCTTCTTATGGTTCAAATCTTCCATTGGCAATACTGATTCCTCTCTGAGTAACATTTCCTTTCTCCCTTTTATATTGGGTATACTGAGCCGAGCACTAATGGCTCACACCTGTAATCCTAGCTACTCAAGAGAGTGAGATCTGAGAATCATGGTTCAGAGCCTTGCTAGGCAAGAAAGTCCATAAGACTCATCTCCAATTAACTACCAAAAAGCTGGTAGTGAAGCTGTGGCTCAAGTGGTACAGTGCTAGCCTTGATTTAAAAAAAAAAAAAAGCTCAGGAACAGTACCCAGGCCCTGAGTTCAAGCCCCAGGACCATCATACAAAAAAAAAAAAAAGAATAAATTGGGAAAATTTCTGTCTTTATTGTCTATAAATACCATGCTTTTAAAAAAATAAACTTGAGACTTTATCAACAACTTTAAATGGACAAAGATCTACTTCAAGTGTTTTGAGATATAATTACATACTTTTGATTTCCATATTTGTTGAGAAGATTATTTTTCGAACCACTGTCTTTGGGATTCTTTACTGTCTCTGAGGTTGTTCAGAAATGTGCTTCTCTTTCATTCATTCTGGCTGCTGCTTGGATTTGGGATCTGTGGATTCTGATCTTATCCTTCCTACTTTGTTTCATCTCTGAAATTCACAGGAGATAGAAGGTAGACCTTTTCCTTCTATCCTTCATACGTTTTGATCTGTTTCACATTTTCTTTCTGACCCTTTGTTGCAGTCTTGTCAGTCTCCTAAGATCCATTTTGTACTTTACTAATTCTTTTGCTATTAAACACATTCATGGTTGGTTTCTGGTGGTCCTAGAACTCAGGATCTTATGCTTGCTGGGCTGATACACCTCTACCCTTGTTTGTAACTGTTTATTTCTTTTAGCATAGGGTCTCATGTCCAGCCAGGGCACATGCCTGAGGTGTAATCTGCCTACTTTTAGGATTCCAGTCATCATTGAGATTACAGGTGGATGCCATTGGATTCAGCTTCCCTCTGTGGAAATGGACTCTTGCAGGCTAGGACTCTTTCTGCCTAGGATGGCCTGGTGCCGTGATCCTTGGGATGCCAAGTACCCACCCCTGCACCCAGCTCAGGGTTCAGATGAAGGCTCACAAATGTTTCTGCCCAGGCTGGCCTCTGAACCATAAAATCCTACCATTCTCAGATTCCCAACTAAGGTGACAGGTGTGAGCTTTGACATTCAGCTGAAGTTGAGGTTTTTAAAAATGTAATTTTAGATGTTTTAATGACTAGTTCTTTTTACTAACTTCATAGCATGTATATGTTAATTATACATGCAATTATTTTATGCTCTGTGTCTGATAAATGTCGTAAATGAAGTCCTTCTGAGACAGATTTGGTTTTCTGTTTTTTCTACTAGCTCTCAGAGAACAATTGTTCCCACGTGCTCACTCTGTTCGCGCCCTCCCCCCCTTCATTTCCTCCTTCCCTCCTGAAATGTCTTGCAATTTTTAAAGGCTTCTTTAATGCTAGGCTGAATGTGAGACCACTCACTCCTGGGAGACACCTAGAAGCATACTTGCTCTGGCCTACTGTAAGCTATCATCTTAGAATATCTTAGAACATATGGGTATTGACAGCTTGGTCTGTTGACTTGTGTAGTTAATATGCCATTATAGTTTTTTAGAGCAGCTTCTTTAACTCAGCACCAAAACTGAAATCAAACAAAGCACTGTACAGAGTAAGGGAGAGTGCAATAACCTTTGGGCACTAGATTTATGTGGCGAACTTCCTGTTAGACTCACCACCCAATCAAGCCCGAGGCTTTGAATCTTGTCCCAGTGAGGGCCAGGTATGCAATTATGCACTGCAGAACTCGAGGGAGCATCTTTCATATAGACTATACTTTTGATATAAATACGAAAAATGTCTTCTGAATTGTGTAGGATCCAAACCTGCACAACTCTATGTGGTAGTCTGAGGGTCAGCAAGTGCCCTCAAAGTAAAAGATAGGTTTAGTGCCTCAGTTTTATAATCCTGCAATTGACAGAACCTAAGTGAAGAATCTGGACAGTCTCTTCTCCCTTTTGAATAGTAGGCATTTTAATACCTTATCTGCTGAATTAATTTGCTCATCTGTATTTCAACAAACATAACCACCTTTCTCTTGTCCCATTATTAAAAGAACTTGATAAAAGAGCGTTTGTTGCTGAGTTTTTCTTTCTTCTTCTTCTTTTTTTCTTCAGATGAGGACTTTCCAGTTGTTCTCCAGCCTACCAATGCAAATGAAAAAACACAACTGATCAGCGAAGGAGCTCGAAGTTACTTCACCGACTCTTAATGCTGGGGCCTGCCAAGGGTCCACCTTCCTCCTCTCGGTTCAACCAGGGTCTCCAGGTGGCTGTGAGGGAGGGCGGGACAAGAAGTGCTGTGAATGCAGACACATTTGTTATCAATGTTAAGGTTAGAGAAAGATGATTACTACATAATCTTCTCAGTATGAAGACTTTTTCTTTGAGTAGAATTCCTAATAAAACACACCTAGTTTGATGAGTAAAGATCTAAGGAAGCATTTGAAGCTGCTTGCGAGGGGTAGCAAGGTGGCACGGGACAGTCTAATCTTTATGAGCCTACCCTTTAGGCCAGCCATTGCTCACAAGGCCTCATTCCTCGCAAGCTAAAGGAGTATTCCAAAACAGAAGAGACCTTTTATTCAGGTAACTAAATGCAATACTATGCCACAAATATCTGCCACAAAAATCATCAGTGAAATACACAGGAGAATTTAGGAGGACTTTGTAGGTGGAGCTCTTCCTTTGTCAACATTCAATATGGTTACACAAAGATTCCCAAAGGCAGGAAAAGATCATTTAAAAAACAAATTGCAAGCAGGGTGCTGGTGGCTCACGCCAGTAATCCTAGCTATTTAGGAGGTTGAGATCTGAGGATCATCATTCAAAGATGACCAAGGCAGGATAGTCCAAGTCCTAGGAGACTCTTATACCAATTAACCACCAGAACACCAGAAAAGGAGCTGTGGCTCAAAGTGGTAATATGCTAGTCTTGAGCAAAAGAGCTCAGGGACAGTGCCCAAGCCCCAAGTTCAAAACCTGTAAATGACAAAAAAAACCCGACAAATGGCATTCTTTTAAAGGATATTTTAGAAGACTAAAAAAAAAAGGTATTTATTTAAAACTGACACATGAATCCTGGAACAAATAGATTTTGTATGTGCTTTTAGATTGGTTTGAAAAACAAAAACAACAAAAGATAAATTTCTAACCTGCTTAAATCTTATAAATGACACAGAAAATCTCTGTGAGACTGGAGTAGCTCCAATTAGTGTGTTGACCATGTTCTGAGTAAAGTAATTTTTGTGTAACTGGCCCAGACTTATCAGGTTAAGGGGTAAAAAGAAAACATGAGATAGGAAATAGAGTTCTAAATTCTGTAAAGTTAAATTTAAAGCTATCTCACTCCATTTTTGGTAGAATTTATTATAATGATCAGAAAATGCTCAGTTATGTGCATGCTGGGAAACTTAAATCCAGAAGTTTTCTCTGTATTTGATTCTTAATTCCCAAATTGATTTTGTGAAAGATACCACGTGCTATTTCTAAAACAGTACAGCAGCAAAACCGTTTGGTTTTTTTCTGAGTCTTTCTTAGTTCTTTCTATAATATTATAGTTTCAAGATCTTGTTATATTTTTATATAATGTTGTATGAAATGCCATCTTCTTTTTTCCTTTGTTTCCTATTCCCTACCATCACCAAATTATAGTCAATTGCTGCTAAATATATATTTTAAGTGAAGATTAATGTTACAGCTCTGACAGTTCCAAAGTTATTAAAACTCTGCTCAAACTCTTGAGTTACTGGATTTTTCCCCCTACATAATGAAGTAGAAATAGCGTTGATTAGAAAGTTAAGAAAACTGGTTCTAATCTACATTCTATCTCACTTGTTCCTGGAATCAAATTAAATGACTCTGATTTCATGTCTGCCCCCCACAACCCTGAGTTGCCATGAGATCAGGTAAAATTCTTGAGGCACAAGAACTTCTGGAAAGCTAAGTATTTAACAAATGTGGGATAATTTTATGTGAATGTGGCCCTGCTACTACAGATGAATGAGACTTCTTATCATATCAACTCTACCCAACAAGACCCATGAAGACCCTGTGCTCTACTCAATGAACAAAGGCTACTTTGAATCTAGAAGAAACAGTAAGAGTCCATCTGTGGATAACTTAAGCCACTACATTTCCTTCCTGTTCTTTCTCCTCTCTTCCCCCTTTCTCTCCCTCCTCTCTCTGCAGAGAGCAGGTTTGTTTTACAAATAGCAATTTACAAATCACAAAGCTCACCTCCTCTCTGTCCCAGACTTTCTTTTCTTGAGAAATCACATGAAATTTTCTACTTCATTTCCAGCTAGCCCAGGAAGCTGGTCCAAACATGGTTAATGAGAACAAGGCAGAATCAGAATCATTATCAGATGGTAGAAGGGTGCTGGCCAAGGTTTTCCACAGAGGGCCACTTTCTAGTTGCAATAATGTATGGCAGACACAAGCATGTGCATGTCTGTGAATGAAGGAGTGAAGTCTTCAGAAAGCCCTTCAGCTATCAAGAAACAAAGGAGACAGGGCAACATAATCATCATGTGGGGGTTCGGCGGGGATTACCACTCACAGTCATATCCATATCATCTGAATCCATATCATCTCAGCAGAGAAGCATCAAGGAAAGAAGTGGCAGGCTGGCATCAGCTTTGGTAAAGTCATAACAGCCAAATGAACAGAGGCCTCCCCCTATCCTGCAGCCCTAGCTACCCTCGAAGGTCTCACAAGTCATCCATTTATTTTCTTGTAGTTTTACAACGGCCATAATTTTGAAAAAGTATATGAATACACATTCATGTTTACCAAAATATATACTTTTGAAATATCTATCTTTAATTTTTTGAGAATAAGCAACATTCTAGTCTACATGACAAGTGATATTTAGGCTAATACACCTGTATGGTAAGACTGAAAACACACTCACTAGATAGTACCTAGCTTAAATCTCTGACTTACAAATACGTTTCCAAGTAAGGCTACATGATCTCATCCCAAGCATGAAACTGTCCCCAGGATGTCCATGTTCCGATTCCCAGCACCAGTGAATATATCAAAAGAAGGTGTGATTTTACAGATGTTAAAATGATGAGATCGTCCTGCATGATGCAATCAGGACTATTGTAACCATGTGACTCTTGAAAGTGGACAACCTTTCCTGATTGAGAAGAATAGGTAGATGCCACTGCAGAGGATGGTCAATGAGTATCGTTGAAGAGACACAATCCTGCCTGAAAGCACCAGCTCAGAAAACCATGTGGACACCAAGTCATGTACAACAAAGTTTATTGTCAGCAAGCTCTCTTGGGATAGAGTAGCAGCCTGTCCTTAAGCAGGGATGTGTTTATAGAGTGCCATGGAAGCTGAAAGCAGAACAGGGAGATGGAAAGTGGTTAGTCTTGGAGTTGGATGCTAGAAATAGCCTGTGGCTGGGACAAAACCTCCTGACTGTGGCAGCAGCATTTTGCTGACACAGCTGGGGGCTAGAGATGGCGCAGTTTAGATGGGGGTGTGGGCGATTGTGGCTAGGCCTGGCCTGGTCATGTGGTTCCAGGGAAAAAAGGCAGAGGACCTAGGATGGAGGCTGTCAGGCCAGCATTGGGGTAGATATGTTTACACTGCCCACACCTTATTTTGGCCCATGTCAATTTCCAACCTTCAGAGCAATGAGATTTTAACACGAGTGTATCTTACTGAGTTTTTCATCGTCATCCTTATTTCACATTTCTCTTTGTTTCAATCCCGAATCCCAAGTCTTTTTTAATCCCAAATCTACTTAACTTCATTTTCTCTTTTTTTCTCCACTTCCCAGTTCCTCGCCTTCCCTGTCCTTTCTTCCATGTGGCTCTCATTTCTCTGATTATCAAGTCTACTGTACTTCATTATCAACCCACATACTTCCAGTTCTTCCCCAGAAGCTGAACTATGGTAAGTCTACTCTGCTGGTGGTGGACAAAATAAAGGAAACAGTGGGCTACAGAATATCCTTAAAGGAACACCTTTCCTCCTCTCAACTTTAAGCCTGGGTAATTACAATGTTAATAGGTAAAAGGAGGATGGTGTATTATCCCAGTCATTCTCTGAACATATTGGAAAACAGAAATAATTTACAGTGAGTGCATTCATCATTTCAATATATTGACAATTTATTGAGATATCCATTTTGTTGTATCCTTAGTCCATTAGCAGACTGAAAAAAATTAGGGTGCTTGCTCTGAGTCTCATCTTAAAATGGTGTTCTCTTGCCACAAGCAGCCTATGGGGATCCAAAACAAGATAGCCAGACGCCAGGAAACGGGCGATTTTATTTTTGTTTTGCTTTTTAGTCTTTGATCAACATCTCCCCAACTCCACTGTCCTGGTAAACTACAAGGACTCTGCTTGTGTTTGTTCAGCTATTTAAGATTTCATGTATATGAGATCATGTGATACTAAATGTTTTATGCCTAGCTTATTTCACTTAATGTCCTCCACCACCTAGGCTTCTTCAGAGGAGTGCAGGCCATTGGAGGGCCATTAGAAAGTGCCCACTGAAGCCAGGCACAGTGGCTCATGTCCATTATCCTAGCTACTTGGGAGGCTGACATCAGCAGGATAGCAGTTTTAGGCCAACCCAGCAAAAACATTCATGAGACCTCCATCTCAACAGACAAAGCTGGGCAACGGTAGCATGTGCCTGTCATCCCAGTTATAATGGGAAGTAAATATGAGGATCTAGTACAGTTGGCTTCAGGCAAAAAGTGAGACTATATCTTAAAAATAGACAGAGGGGGGAAAATCGAGTGCTCACCAAGCAAGAATGAAGCTCTGAGTTCAAATTTAAAAAAGAAGGGAAGTTCCTGATGAAATCTGAGGAGTGTCTCCATTGTGAACACCTTCTAAACAAGTTAGATCTGAGAGTCTTAGGAGGTGTTTCCCACAGGGGAGAACCCCAGCCAAGGGATGGTGTGTGATTGCCTGGGTGACAAGAGTAGCCATGGATTCATAGGCCTAACAAAAGAGCTGGTCCCTCAAAGAACCAGAGTAACCAGGCTGGAACAGGATGAGGGCTAGAGACTCCCTGGAGGACCAAGCCATAAACCACACATAGACCTCACAGCCCTGTGAAGCAGAGAGGCCCAAAGCCTAGCTGCGGTGAAATTTCTTGATATGGTCAAGGAATGTCAAACAAATGAGTGTTTAACTCATGCTGTAAAACAGAAGAGTTTTCACCTAGTAGAAATGCAAACGTTGCTTGATGAAAGAGTCCTTTGCTTTTATGGAAGTTTAGCATATACATTTTTGTAATATGAATGATATATATATATATATGTATGTATGATGTGTTTTTAAAATTGAATTAGGATAAAAAAGAAATGCTCACTGTCACTCTGTTCCTAGTCATCTGATTACAACCATTTTTAGACATTCTAGCAGGTTACCTGCACACATCCCTCGTCTATATTAAGGCCCTATGTCCACTTCCAGAACACCAG